GCCACAACAAAACTGCACCTATTAAAATCATATAAATAAAAGTGAGTTTTGCTGTGAGCACAATTGCACACGCAAAAACACCGTAAAGATAAAGTTCGAATATAATCAAACCATATATAATTTCGTTTGCCACTTGACGTTTATTATTATTACTCTCATTTTATTTTCATTTATGTATTTTGTGTGTGGTGTGCGCCCGGCGTTGCCGCCGTCATTGCCACCACTACCACCATCATCATCGCTACTCACTATGTATATGCCGAGCGTCATTGTTGCGCTGATACATGGTGATTTACAGGTTATTTGATTATATTAGTTTCAATAAAGTTATAATAACATGTGTATTTCATATGATATTCGATGGTATTTAAATTAAATCGTTAGTTTTTTTTTTTAAATTTTGTTGTTGTTTTGCTTTGTGTTATGCGTGAACAAAAAATGCTTTAAATTTACATAGTAAATGCGGCACAAACAACAGCAGACTAAATAAAGACACCGACTGAGGGGAAATAGAGAGACAGAGAATGGAGAAAAAACGTGTTTTCTGTCATTTCAATCGAGTACATAAATCATAACAAATGCAATTATCAATTTGAGAACGATGCAAATGTAAATTCTCGTCGATTGACCGATTCGATAAATGTATTATACAAATATAGTGATTGTCATTTGCAAACATGCATTCATTTGTATGTGCAGTCAAGTGTGATAGCGATGACTTTTGTCAAACATATAAAATACGTGACGATTTTGCGTATAGACAAAACACATTCTCACACAATTTATGCCAGCCATATATTTTCGTTCAAAATATAAGCTTTCATGCAATTGTCGATCACACCGATCTAATTAATTTAAAGTGACATCACACAGAGACAGAGACGGAGGCACACGCAGATACTTCACACACATCGGATTTTGACACACATTGATATTCTCAGAAGCATTTAGTCAATGTTTTCGGTTTCAATCAAAAAATTATAATCACTGATGACGAATGAAGTTGGACACTGTGTGCGTATGTGCATATTCAATGATTTTGCATGTACAAAAACACTACTCTGTCGTCTCTCATTCACACCAATATCGCAACAATTACAAAAGAATACAACATCAAGTGGAATTATTATTAATAATCATTGTGAATCCATTTATCTTCGTTGGTGTACACTCTACATAATGCGGGTGTGTATGCAAACGTTCTATTATGCTAAAAGTGCAGAGAAACCTTTTAAGTCGAATGCACAAAGAAATATTGCAAACAAAACAAACTGATACTTTATTGAGTGTAACGAAGTCCTGTTCATTGCATTATTTATTACTTCATTACTCGGCTCGTTCTTTTTTTTACATTCGTTTGTTTTCATTTACTCATTCGGTACGCAATTAACGAGTGGCCAATTGATGGGAGAAGCGCAGCATACACAGAGATAAAGAAGAGAGAGAACATTAGTGAAAATACGAAAGGCATTTTGTTATTTATAGTTAATTCTGCCACAAAACTAATTGAAGGCACTCTTCTTATTTGCTGATGAATTTTGAGTTAGCTGTTGAGCTTTTGAAATTGCACGATGATTGTTGCATATTGCATATTTTGTAACATAGGCATATTTCATCCGGTCGCTCTATGCCATATTTATTTGGGTATAGTTTTCTTCTTGAATATGCAACAGAAAATTATGTTAATATTTTGTTTGTCAATTTAATGAGTGGATTTGAATGCAAATGCATCAACATCGCATTCACATCGGAAAAACAATTCAAAACATAAATGAAGACCTTTTAACGAAACGATGCAGTCAAATTCAAAACCATACACAAAAACCATACGAAAAATTTATAATTTTGATTGGTTGTTGTTGTTGTTGTTTTTTGCACAATGCCGTGTGCATCAACACGAAAATGGCAAATCGACAAATAATATCTTGATCAAGCGCTCGACATCATCGTGCATTTATTATTATTGATATGGTTGTGATGGTTGTTGTTGTTGTTGTTATTGCTGGTGTTGCTGTTTCCATTGTTGCATGCATCACATTGAATGCAAATCATGAGTGGAATAGAGAAAGAAAAACGACCATGGTAGAATTAACGTAATAAAGGCGTATATGTATGGTCCAAACATCAAAATCGATACGAAAGCGCAAAAATTTGCAAATTACATGTGGTAATTGACTGAAAGTGATCCACGGGATAATGGCTCTTTCTCTCTCTCTCATTCTCTTCATCTTTGTTTCTCATGAATTCGCACGAATTCGGTAGAACAATGCCTGCATTTGGCCAAACGAATAAATATGCTTATAAATGCATGAATGCGAACCAAACGAAGCAAATAGATGAAAATATCGAGACACAAGAAGCGAAAATGAGACGGATGCACGGGAGAAATACAACATACAATCGGCATAACAAATACAAAATTAAATATTTATGGTTGCTGACAAATGGTCGCTGATAATAACCTTTGAAAATAGAAAACAGGTTTCGTAGTTTGGCGCGTTGCTTTGTCCATTGTTATCTTCGTTGTTGCTCGCGTTTCGTTTTTGTTGTTGTATTTTTTAAATTTTCCGTTTCACTCATTCAGTCTGCCTCGATTCACTTGTGCCGTAGGTATTCAACGTGCTTTTATTTTCTGCAGAGAAAAACAAAATATATTGAATTAATTGTATGCTCAATCAACGTTAACAGTTGCATTTTTATTCTCTTTTCCACTCTTCATTTCGATCGAATCGATATGTTTGGTTTTTACACATTTATTTTATCCAACAATGATGTTGGGTTTTATAAAGCGTCTGTCGCTCTTGTTGGATTTTATATAGTTGTGTGATCTGCATTCGTGTGCTTCATTTATCTGATTTGATATTCAAAATGCAATCGGTGGCCACTTGCAGATTGGCACAATAGCAATGCGTCGAACCGATCTGTATCGATATAAAATTAATTTTCTTCTATTTAATCTCCAAACCGTATTATGCGAGAGAGAGAGAGTGAGAGAGTGAGAAAAGAGCGTGAAGGATTGGAAGCCGCGAAGCAAAACAAAAGGACAGTAGCACATATTGAGAGCATTAACACAGCTCAATACAATAGCTCGTTGCAAATAATCGAAATGAATTAATTCGCTTGGAAATGGAATTTGTTCGTTTTCATTGCATCGAGTCATTTGCTGGTCAAAGCGATGAAGCAAAAAAAAAAAACGCACATACTTTTTGTGAATTTGTGCCAATACTATAAGATACTATGTTGTTTGCTCGGATTTTGTAAAGAACTTCGTGTATTCGTGAAGATAAATTCAATCAATATATTTACATTACTCGCATTTTTTTGCCTGTGTGCTTTCGCTTTTGCTAGCTATCTCGTCATCTGTTTCTCAGACACCAAAATGATCACAATGTTTACCCATTTCAATTGATTTATTGAAATGTATAGTTTAATTTGAGCCAGGCTTATTCTTGAATATAATAGGAAATCAATTAATCATTAATACCATAAAAACCAACTTGCTGTGAGCCATGAAAAATAGAAGTTCGGTTTAATAAATAACAAAAACTACCCACCGATTTCTAATTTAAAATATTGAGCAAAAGAAATAGCGAAGCGATAAAAAAAACCCGAAACAATGCTAAGTATACCGATACTTGCGCAAGTTTTTTCAAAATATAAAATATTATAATCTCTCGGGTATACTTTGTTTCGATTCCAAACAACGTTCGAATTGGTAAAAAAATGCGGCCATATTGAAATGGAGAATATCACTTTGGAGCTTATGATTAAAAACCAGAGCCAAACCAAATCTAATCACATAGTTGGCGGGGCTCGAATAAATGAAGCAGTAAAATGTTTTTGAAATTTTACTTTTGAACTTTCAAAACCGCACTATTCACCACGAATTCAAACAAAACAAAAAACATTCTACTCTTGCTTTCCATTTCCAAAATGCCAAAAAAAATTTGCCGATGCCATTGAAACATGTAATTACATCGTATTAATCTTTCATTGTGTATAGTTTTTGTGCACCAAGAATGCAGGTATTGTTGAATGTGACAGACACTAAGAGAGAGAGAGAGAGAGAGAGAGAGAGAGAGAGAGAGAGAGAGAGAGA